AGACTTGCCACATGCCAACTGAGGCTAAGGCTTGCTTACGTCAACTAGCTTATGCCCCCGCCAACAGAGCCCGAGGGCAGTGGCTCACAACTGGGCAGAGGTGGGAGAAGGAGCTCGGACACCAGGGAAGGCCTCACTGGGAAAGTGATATCCCAATGGACCTGAAGGAGGTAGGGAGTGAGCCAGGCTGATCTAAGGTCAAGGATTTCCGATAGAGAACAGCAAGCTCAGAGGCCTGAAGCTAGAGGATATCTACGGATTGGCAGTGGGGCGGGGGGGGGGGGGGCGGCAGAGGGACAGGGCCATGGAGAGCCACACTGCTGCACAACAGTCCCAGCACTCCTCGGCACCCCGTCTCTGGGAGCCCTCCCGTTTCCCTCTCCACCCCATGGATGCCATGAGAGCATCCCAGACAGCACCTTCTTAAAGAATCATTCACAATGCTTGTTAAAACGGGAAGGCAGTTGGTGGGACTGCAAGCTAGTGCAGCCACTCTGGAAAACAGTGTGGAGGGTCCTCAAAATGTTAAAAATAGGGCTACCCCAGGATCCATTAATTCCACTACTGGATTTACCCAAGGAATACAAAAGCCCTAATTCAAAAACATATATGCACCCCTATGTTTATAGCAGCATTACCTACAATAGCCAAATTATGGAAGCAGCTCAAGTGTCCATCGACTGATGAATGGATAAAGGAGTGTGTGGTGTGTGTATGTGTATACACATAATGGAATATTATTCAGTCATCAAAAAGAATGAAATCTCGGAACGCCTGGGTGGCTCAGCAGTTGAGCCTCTGCCTTCGGTTCAGGGCGTGATCCTGGAGTCCTGGATCGAGTCCCACATCAAGTTCCCTGCGTGGAGCCTGCTTCTCCCTCTGCCTGTGTCTCTGCCTCTCTCTGTGTGTCTCTCATGAATAAATGGATAAAATCTTTAAAAAAAAAAGGAATGAAATCTTACCATTTGCAGCAACATGGATGGAGCTAGATACCATAATGCTAAATGAAATAAGTCAGAGAGGGATCCCTGGGTGGCGCAGCGGTTTAGCGCCTGCCTTTGGCCCAGGTCGCGATCCTGGAGACCCGGAATCGAATCCCACGTCGGGCTCCTGGTGCATGGAGCCTGCTTCTCCCTCTGCCTGTGTCTCTGCCTCTCTCTCTCTCTGTGTGTGTGACTATCATAAATAAATTTTTAAAAAAAATCGAAATAAGTCAGAGAAAGACAAGTATATGATTTCACTCCTATGTAGAATTTAAGAAACAAAGCAAACAAACAAAAAGAGACAAACCAAGAAATAGACTCCTAACTAGAGAGAACAACCAAGTGGTTACCAGAGGGGATGGGGGTGAAATAGGTGACGGAGGTTAAGAGGACAGTTATCACGATGGGCAGTGAGTGATGGATGGGACTGCTGGACCATAATATTGGCCTGAGACTAATATAACACTGCGTCAACTACCTGGAATTTTTTTAAAAGAATACATTTAACCAGTTAAATACAACAGGCACACTTAATCAGGACCATCACAGTAGGTACACAGACCACTGTGATGGAATTTTACTGTGGCGGCTCAATTCTGATTGCAGCACAGGCAAGTAGGAATTCATAGTGATACAGTTCAGAACACACTACCCCAAAATATGACACCTTGCATCCTGAGTATGTTTTTTTAATTTTTTTTTAAGATTTCATTTCTTTATTCATGAGAGACACACATAGAGAGAGAGAGGCAGAGACACAGGCAGAGGGAGAAGCAGGCTCCACGCAGGGAGCCCAACGTGGGACTAGATCCCTGGACTCCAGGATCACGTCCTGGCCCTAGGCGGCGCTAAACTGCCGAGCCCCCCCAGGCGTCCCATCCTGAGTGTCCTGGGTAGTTTGAAGCAACAGCAGCAGCAGGAAGGCCATTCTGACCTCCACTGCCCGTGTCCCCTGAAACAGGCCATGAACCCCCCTGTGAGAGGTACTCCCCCCATCCCCAGAGAACAGGAGCGCTCTTATGCCAAAGACAAAGGAAAGGATCCCAACAAACTGGCCTTGCTAAGCTTCCCCCATCTACCACACTAACCCTCAGACTCCTTAACCTGCCATATTCTCCTGCAGCTGTCCAGGCGCCACCAAACCTAGCACAAGATACTCAAGTTTATCAGGTTCTTTGGGTCATTTCCTTATGAAGTCTCCCATGTCAAGGAAACCTTATAAAATTAAACAAATGTGTGGGCTTTCTCCTGTTCATCTGTCTTTGTCAGTTTAGTTTCCAGACCCAGGGAGGGATCCTACGAGGGTCAAGGAAAACTTGACCTACAACAGCTAAGGAGCAGGTGGGGGTCAGTGGAAAAAAACTGACTTTTTCACTAAAAACATCAGGGGTGAGGGGGGTTCTGGCTAGACCAACCCACCAGGATTCTGGCCAAAGACAGACCAGGTGATCAGATGTCAGCTTGCGGGGGCGGGGATCAAGACCCTGATCAGAGGGACCCTGGGTGGCTGTTGACTGAGGGGTGAGCAGCTGCCTTCAGCTCAGGTCAGGATCCTGGGGTCCTAGGATCCATGGTTTGGGCTCCCTGCTCAGAGGGGAGCCTGCTTCTCACTCTGTTCCTACGCCGCCGCCCCCCCCCACACACACACACACTCTCTCGGGCTATCACATAGATAAAATCTTGAAAAAAAATTAAAACAACCTAATCAGATATCAAGGGTGGAGCGTTCTTGCTAACACTGAGATTTACAAAGAAGTGCACAGATGGGCCCGGGAAAAGGTTCAGAAGACGGACTAAAGTTTGGTCAAGCAAACCAAACCAAACCTCCCTCCCTAGGTGGAGACATGCACCTACCAGCCTGCCATGCGGGAACTGGGACCAACCCACCAGGTCAGGGTGGCTGTGGGGGAGGAAATACCACCTGGTGGACCAGGTTGAGGTCTAGCAGTTCCTGAGGGCAAGGAGGGAGGAACTGGGGGCCTGCACAGATGGCTTCTGACGTCCTGGGCCCCCACATCAGCCAGCCCCAGAACTGCTGCAGAATCCTCCCCCGTGGGCTGGGCGTTCTCACTGAAGCCACTCACCCACCCCACCCACCCCACGCAGGCCCAGGAGACACAGGCCTCTCATGCCTTGTCCTAGGTACAGAAGCACAAGACCAGCACCACTCATTGCAAGGCCCCCCTCTCCTAACTGTGGGCGTCAGTTCCAAATTAGCAATGTCCCAGGCGTCCAGAGCCACATCATGCACGCTGGCAGGCTGCCTCCCATCAGGGCTCTATCCCAAGCTGACCCTCCTGCCAGCTCCTGCAGCAGTGCCAAAAAAGAACTCATATCTCCAAAAGACTCAGATGCCTGCAGAGGCTTGGCTTTGAACAAACATAGCTGGCAGCACACAGACCTTCCCCCTACGTAGAGGTCAGGGCCGGGCTGGCTCCGCCGGCCCGTGTGCACACACCTGAGGGGCCTTCAGGAACCGCAGGGGAAGATGCCAGCCATTTGCATAACATTACAACCCCAGGCAGGCTCTTCCCGAGAATCAGGGCAGGTCCTCTGCCGCCTGGGGTAGTTTCCAGCTCACCGCTGAAAGGGAAGAAAGTGCTTTTGGTTGACTCCTTTTAAACTCCAATTCACAGCGCCGACCAGCTGTGATAGCTCCAATTACAGGTTCAAAGATTTCTGGGCCATGGAAAAACTTCCTGTTCTGGCCACTCAACCCCATCCCACTCCCACGCAAAGGCCCAGAAACCACCCTGGGATGTGACACCAAGGGGACAGGTTGCCAAACTGCCCCTTCCAGTCCTCACAAGGTCAGCAGCTAGCCTTGACCCCAACCCCCAGGCCAGACCCATTCCGGAGAGTTCCCGCCCTGCCAATTTTGCTCCTCCACACTCCCCCATGTCTTGAGCCTTCCTGTTTCATCAGGAAAATGCCAGCTCCCCAGCCAGGGCTGGACTTCAGTGGACCCGTGTCCTGGTCCCCCACCGCAGTCCCCAGAGGACATGTGCTGCGCGGTCCACTCTGAGCCCTGCTCCACCGTCAGCAGCCACGGAAAGCCTCGCCAACTGGGAACCCAGGTCCTGATCTTCCTGAGGTCAGAGTCCCAGAGGGATGCCCTGAGTTTGTGAGGGAAACAGGCCAGGAAGCGGTCCTGGAGAGTTTCCTGGGGCGGTGAGAGCTGCCCCGGGGGAGCTGCGGCTGGGGGCCCCGTTACCCACCTAGCCATCCTCTGGCCACTCCGTCCCTTTGAGGCAGCTAAACCAACGGGGGCCAGACAGGTGAAGCCCGGTCTGCAAGGTCACCGGTGCTGCAGCTCTAGCCCTAGTGTGACCCCGAGCAGGCCAGAGCCCAGGTACCACCGTACGCGCAATACACACACACACACACACACACACACACACAGCCGCGTGCACGGAAAGGGTCTGAAAGAGTTTGCTGTCTCGCGTTTCAAGAAAAGCACCGGAAGTAACGTTGAGCAAAGAGCCCGCGGTCGGTGGGCTCCGCGGCCTTCGCTCCGCGTGGCTCATCCAGGATGCCCAGGGCACCCCGCCCCCTCCCCGCACTCAGGTCCTTTCCTAAAGGACCCCGAGTCTCCCAGCCCCCGAGGTCGGGGGCCCCGCCCTGCCCGCCCTTCCAACGGCCCAGGGGTGCGAAGCGGGCCCGCGCGCGCGCCCCCCAACCCAGCGCCCAACCCCGCCCCAGGCCGCGTGAGAGTAGGCCCCGCCCCCGACGAGGCCCCGCCCCAACGAGGCCCGCCCGGGCTGCCGCGCGCGGAGGGTCACGGGACTGCGGGGCGGGGCGGAGACGGGGACGGGGCGGGGCCGGGCGCGCGCCCCGCAACCCCGAGCCCAACCCCGAGCCCAACCCCGCCCCAGGCCGCGTGCGAGCAGGCCCCGCCCCCAACGAGGCCCCGCCTCCAACTCGGCCCCGCCCCAACGAGGGCCCGCCCGGGCTGCGCGCGCGGAGGGTCACGGGACCGCGGGGCAGGGCGGGGCGGAGTCGGGGGCGGGGCGGGCCGAGGCGGAAGCGCCCGCGGGGCCCCAGCCGTCCGCGGTCCCGTCCCGCCCCTGCTCCGCCCGGTACTGCCCTCGTCCGCCGCGCGGGCCCCGGGGTTCAGCGTCGTGTGACTCCTGCCCCCGACCTCGAGGCCGAGCCCCGGGGTTCTGTCCGGGCCGCGGCCTCCGGGTGCTGTTGGGGTCAGCGGTCCCCGGAAGCCCGCTGGGAGGCCGGGAGGGGGTTGTCGGGAGTACTGGGGTCGGGCCTCCAGGAGGGCGTCGTTCCCGGAGTCGGGATCCCGCGGAGGCGAGGCGTAGCGCCTGGCTCTGGGGCCCCGGGTGGGGCCGCGCCTGGGTCGGGCCCCGGGTGGGACTCGCTGCGGCCGGCTCGCCCTCCGTCCCAGGCCGCTGGCGCCAGGCGCCATGGGGCCGCTGTGGGCCCTCGCCCTGGCCTCGGCCGTCGGCCTGGCCGCCGCTGGGCCGCCGAACATCGTGCTGATCTTCGCCGATGACCTGGGCTACGGGGACCTGGGCTGCTACGGGCACCCCAGCTCCGCCACGCCCAACCTGGACCAGCTGGCCGCCGGGGGGCTGCGCTTCACCGACTTCTACGTGCCCACGTCCCTGTGCACGCCCTCCCGGTAAGCGGGTGGCTCCCTCGGGCGGGGGGGCGCGTCCGCCCCCGGCCTCGTGTCCGTCTCAGCCTCGCCCGGTCCCGCAGGGCCGCGCTCCTGACCGGGCGGCTGCCGGTGCGGATGGGCCTGTACCCCGGCGTCCTGGAGCCCGGCTCCCGCGGGGGCCTGCCCCTGGAGGAGGTGACCCTGGCCGAGGTCCTGGCTGCCCGCGGCTACCTGACGGGGATCGCCGGCAAGTGGCACCTTGGGGTGGGGCCCGACGGGGCCTTCCTGCCCCCCCACCAGGGCTTCCACCGGTTCCTGGGCATCCCGTACTCGCACGACCAGGTAGGAGCCCGTGAGCCCCGGCCCCGCGACCGGCCAGGCCCGCCAGCAGCCCAGCCTCCTGAACCGAACCGCTCCGCCAGGGCCCTTGCCAGAACCTGACCTGCTTTCCGCCGTCCACCCCCTGTGATGGCAGCTGCGACCAGGGCCTGGTCCCCATCCCGCTGCTGGCCAACCTGTCCGTGGAGGCTCAGCCCCCCTGGCTGCCTGGACTCGAGGCCCGCTACGTGGCTTTCGCCCGTGACCTCATGGCTGATGCCCAGCGCCAGGGCCGCCCGTTTTTCCTGTACTACGCCTCCCACGTGAGTGCCCCTGGCCTGCTCCCTCCTGCCCTGCAGCCCTACCCAGTGCTAACCCCTGTCTCCGCCCACAGCACACCCACTACCCCCAGTTCGGGGGGCAGAGCTTCTCCGGGCGCTCAGGCCGAGGGCCGTTCGGGGACTCCCTGATGGAGCTGGATGCAGCTGTGGGGGCCCTGATGACAGCTGTGGGAGACCTGGGGCTGCTCGGAGAGACGCTGGTCATTTTCACTGCAGACAACGGGTTTGCTGGCAGGGGGGGGTAGGGAAGTGCTGGTGGGTCCCTCAGCAGTGGTCACTGGGGTCTCCCCATCCTGAGCACTGGCTGAGGACGTAGCGGGACACGGTTGTTTGAGGAGATGCTGGCTGTGTGCTGTGACCCATGGGGCACGCGGGAGGCAGGGGGCCACGAGTACATGGGGTGCTGGTTATTTTCATGGGGTCCCCCTGAGCGTCACTGATGGCCCACTGTGCGTCCAGGCCCGAGACGATGAGGATGTCCCATGGTGGCTGCTCTGGCCTTCTTCGTTGTGGAAAGGGAACCACCTTTGATGGGGGTGTCCGCGAGCCTGCCTTGGCCTTCTGGCCAGGCCACATTGCTCCTGGTCAGTCTCCAGGCCCTCTCCTCATGAACCCCCAGCCCCACCTCCCCAGTCCTGGTGGCAAATGGACTGATCACACACAGCCTTCTGCCTCCAGGTGTGACCCATGAGCTGGCCAGCTCCCTGGACCTGCTGCCCACGCTGGCGTCTCTGACCGGGGCCCCGCTGCCCAATGTCACCTTGGATGGTGTTGATCTCAGCCCCCTGCTGCTGGGCACAGGCAGGGTAGTGCTCACAACCCTGAGACCCTGGCTCTACCCCCCCACTCCACAGCTCCTCTGTTGAGTGGCACCCAGGTGGTGCTGCCAGTGGGGTTTCGGGTGGGCAAGGAGCAGCTGCATGTCCAGGGCCTGACACAGGCTGATGGCTCTGGGTACATGCAGGTCAGTGCTGGGGGGTTCTGGCCACCCTGTGATCCCTGACTTTGCCCCCAGAGCCCCCGGCAGTCTCTCTTCTTCTATTCGGCCTACCCGGACGAGGTCCACGGGGTCTTTGCTGTGCGCAGTGGGAAGTACAAAGCTCACTTCTTCACCCAGGGTAATCTCCTCTCCCCCGCCCTGCTGATCCCCTGGTAGCCCCAGAGCCTGGCCCCTCCTGTCCATCTCGCCCTTTGCAGAGACCTGCCCTCCTCCTCAGGCTCTCCCCACAGTGACACCACACCGGACCCTGCCTGCCACGCCTCCAGCCCTCTGACTGCCCATGAGCCCCCGCTGCTCTTTGACTTGTCTGAGGACCCTGGTGAGAACTACAACCTCCTGGGAGGAATGGCTGAGGTCGCCCCAGAGGCACTGCAGGCGCTGAAGCAACTTCAGCTGCTCAAGGCCCAGTTTGACGCCACCGTGACCTTCAGCCCCAGCCAGATGGCCCGAGGCGAGGACCCTGCCCTGCAGATCTGCTGTCAGCCTGGCTGTACCCCCCGGCCATCCTGCTGCCACTGCCCTGAGCCCCAGGCCTGAGAGCACTGGCACGGGCCACCCAGGCCCTCGCCCCACCCAGGCATGTACCTGAGAACGCTAATAACACCAGCTGGTACTCATAGGTGTGATACTGCATCTAATCTTTGTGATAACCCCGAGGTAGGTGCTGTTCTGCCTGCGTTACAAATGAGGAAACTGAGACAGAGCAAGGTCACCGAGCCATCAGAGGTTGGCTGGGATAGGAACCCAGGCATCTTGTGATTGTATCGTGTCAGTGAAAGCTCGTTCCTGAGTGTGAGCATGTCCCTTCAAGGAGCCTAGGAAGTGCCCGAGTGCCAGGGGCAGGTCGCGGCAGGCACGAGGGACAGTGGGCAGCGGGCAGCGCCAGGACTCCTATTAGACACCTGAGGGTGGGAGATGATTTGCAGGTTCCAGGTGGGGGTAAGGGGAGATAAGCTCCTGAGGTACTCAGGCCCCGCCTCGGCCCCCGCTGAGGCTCCACATTTCCACCCTCATACAAGTTTCCTGTCTCCTGCCAGCGACACAGACATAGCTCAGGTTTGGCTGCATCCCTGCTCAAAGCTCTGCAGGCTGCCCCCAGGCTCAGAATTGAGCTCACACCCCCGAGGGGCCCTGTTCCCACCAAGGCCTGCCTCCTCCCCGCCCAGCGGCCCTTGGCCCTCGGCACGCTGGCCTGGCTGGCCCCTGCTGGGGTCCGCGTGCTCTGCCCCAGCTGCCCACCTGTGCCACAGAGCCACCTTGTGTGTGTGCTGAGGGCACGTCCACGGGTGCCCCCTGTGCTCACTCAGCGTTGGCTCGATGGGAAGGGCACAGTCTGGGTGCTTGAGGCCCCAGCGTGGGCAGCCACCCACTGCCCTCATAGACCTCCACTGACCCAGTGTTGGGCAGAGGCCCATGGACTAGGAGCACAGCCTCTCCCTGACCGGCAGAGCCAGTCACAGTCCAATCCAATTCTTGGTCCAGGTATGGCATGTGACCAAGAGTCCTGGTCAGTGAAGGATCGGGGCAGTCCCCCATGACCCCTGGGTCCCCTTCAGCATCCTTCCTCTGGGGGCAGTGAGGACGGCGCTGTGCTACTGCTGCCCCAGCCAGCATCACGCAGCAGCCCCGCCGGCATCTCCAGGCCCCTATCTGCAGAGCTCACGTATAGTGAACCCTTCCTGTTTAAGCCGCTGCTAGTGGTTATCAGTTACCTTCTGCCAAAAGAGGTCTTGCTGGAAAGGGATGTGTGAATGAGATGTGTGGGGCCACATGGGCGAGCAGGTGGTCTGGAGAGGGGGCCTGTGGCACCAACACGGAGGCCCACCCCGTCTGATCCCTGTGGCTCTCCCATCACTTCTCATCTGCCTTGGGGGCTGCACTGACCACGCCCAGGTCCTGCTGCATCTTGGGGCTCCCCCCATAGGGCAGTGGCTTCTTGGGGACCCTTGCAGCCAGTGACGCTGGCAAAAGGAGGTCCCGTGTGCACCTGTGTGAGTGGAGGCCTGGCCCCAGATGAGCCAGGCACGCCCTCCCCCTGCAGACTGCAGCTTCTCTTCCAGTGGGTCACACAGTCACCTCAAGAAGGTTCCAGAGTGATGACTGAAGAACCGGAGCGGGCACGCCATCTGTGCATCCAAAGACCGACTGCCCAGCAAGAACCACACCCACGCTAACACCCATGCACAGCACCAGGCACAGGTGCTTCTCCAGGCCTGCTGCCCACCTGGGTAAGGTTTATTCACCACCCAGTGCCGAGCAGGTTGCTGGGGTGCAGATCACCAGAGGGGACCCATCCCTGTTCCCGTGGCGCATCTGGCCTAGCAAGGGATAGGGGCTTCAACCCTGCTATCTCAGGGAATTAGGCACCATAGGCACCCCTTCCTCCTGGGTGGGGGCAGGGGCGCGTGGATGGTGCCCGAGACGGGTCACTGGGGAACATGAGAGGCTGCAGATGTTCTGACTTGACTGAAGGGTGGAAACGTGAGACGCACGTATACATAGAGCAGTACGGCCACATGCTTATGTCGTCACCTGTGTATTTTCTTCTTCAGTAGAAACGAGAATTTCGCTGAGAAATACCACAGAGGAAGAGTGCAGGTCCTGTAAGAGCATAATTGCTGGGGGGGGGGGGGGCTTCTCTGCTGGCTGAGATCTGAGGATGGTGTTGAAACCCACCACCTTGCTCCTGTGGTTTGGAAAGAAGCAGACTCTCACCCTCTTACCCTACTTTTGGTTTTGCTGTGATGCTTTTGCAGGCAGACGTGCTTGTCTCTCATCCTTTCAGCTGCTCCTCATACAAAACGTGTGTGTGTGCGCACACTTGCAAACATGCATGCAGGGCTGCCCAGGGGGCTCAGCGGTTTAGCGCCGCCTTCGGCCCAGGGCCTGATCCTGGAGACCCGGGATCGAGTTCCACGTTGGGCTCCCTGCGTGGAGCCTGCTTCTACAACTCTGCCTGTGTCTCTGCTTCTCTCTCTCTCTGTGTGTGTGTCACTCATGAATAAATAAATAAAATCTTTAAAAAAAAATTTTTGACACGCATGTGAGCACATGGCTCACGTGCATACGCACACATGTTCATGTGCACGCTCGTCGTGGCCTGAAAGGCTGTCTGCAATGTCCCTGAACTTCCCTTTCCTCCCTGCTACTGTTGATTTAAAAAACTGCCCCTTGTCCTGTGAGCTTAAGACTGGTCATTCCCCCAGGCAGTGGCCTCCGGCTCTGCAGAGCCACTGCCTCGGGCCTCCCCTGCCCGGAGCCCAGCCGGGCTGCTTGGAGCGGCTGCTAGCGCACTTCCCCTTAGGTGCGCTGTGGGGAGGAGGGATCCGGGGAGACCTGCTCCCCTCCTCGCCTCCTCCCTGCTCACAGGCTGGCCTGTCCCCCAGGTGGCCAGAAGGGGGAGCAAAGGGGCTGTTTCCCCGGGATCCTCCTTAAACTGGCCTCTTCCCTGAGTTTCAAGTACTAGTTAGAGCCCCGCAGGCGATGCGATGCCCTGACATCCCGGGGAGCTGTGCCCTAACCTCCCTGCACCCGACAGTCTCTCAGGGGTCCCGTGTGTCCTGACGCCAGGCTGGGGCAGGGCGGGCAGTAACGGAGGAGTGGTTCCCATGTGTGACCCTTCCTCTGGGTGGTCATGGCCCACCCCCGCCATGGCAAGGAGGGGCAGCCTCAGGTGGTCTCAGGAGAAAGGGACCCGATGGAGAAAGAGGGGCCTGGGGTGCCACGGGAGCTGACCGGCCACCAGAGCCCTGGAGAGAGCTGTTGTGGGGCGGCCTGGCCCGGGATTCCACAGTGAGAGTGGAAACATCTCATCATCTTACAAACCCTGGAACAACGTGGTGCCCGGGGCCTGTCTCCCCAGGGAACCCCCATGCCCATTGGGAACTGCAGTCCCCCTGCAGCCTGGAGGGAGGGCAGTCACCCTGGTGTCGGCCGTGACCCAGACATGGGTCCCCAGGTAGTGACCCCTTGTCGTGCCTTCTTTCTACCCTGCAAGTCCCAACACCCTCCCAAGAAATTTCCCTGCGGTTACGTTATCCAGAGTCTGCTCCACAGCCTGGTGGTGACCACATGCTAAGTGATAGAGAAGTTAAGTACTAACTGCACTATCCTAATCCCAGCACACCTGCGCTGTCGGGAGGACGACTGGTACCCTCCAGAGGGCCCGTGCGACGTGCTGGGTTTGGGGCAGGAGATGGAGGATCTCCCCTGGGGATCCACCTGCGCCACCTGCCACCCCACGGGAGGCTGTGCACACTGAGGAGGGCCCGTGCCTGAACAGCAGGACCTCCTCATCCCCTGCTGCCACCCCGATTGGATGAGCCGCCCACCCTGGGATACCTCCCCGGGGGTCCCCAAGGAAGGACGGGGCAGGAGCTTGCCCCATCCCTTCCGCGGATGCGAGTGCGGGGCGGCCGTCTCCCTCCACGGAACCCTCATGCGGGCGCCCCAACAAAGTGCAGGCAGGTCTAGATGAAGGCCAAAGGGGGGTGCCCCCCACCCCAGGTGGAGGGCGGGGCTCTGTGGGGGCTCCAGGCGCCCAGCCATGTGCCTGCTCCGAATCTGCCCAAAGGAAATAACAAAGTAAATCAAAGTTCCTCTTGCCATCCGCTGAAATGACAGCCGAGGCAGCTTTCAGGGTAAATGGTTGAATCTCTCCTCCGCCAAGCTCCGTGTACAAGGACCTCATTCGCAGGTCGGGAATTCCACAGAACATGACCTGGGTGGTGGGGTGGACACACTCGGGGAGCTTCCATGCGACACACCAACGCCTGTCCACACGCACCTGACCCCTGCACAGGCCCCGCACCCCTGTGTCCACACCTGCACCAGGTGAGGCCAGCTCACAGTGGTGGTTTGGGGGCTGAGGAGCCAGATCCCCTACTCTGCTCAGTGCCGAGGCAATGATCCCTAATACCACCTACTTCCCCGTCACCCTCATCCCAGGACGCCGGCCTTGGGTGCCTGCTTGCTGGGTGGAGGAGCATCTTCCCACATGCTCCCTGGTCAGGAGAAGGTGAGAAACACTGCTCAGCACTGAAGGATCAGAAGGCCGGGGGCAGGTCTTCTGACCTCAGCTGTGGCTGGCCGGCGATCCCAGGAAGACCCGCTTCCTCCCTCTGCTCTCACCGCCCGTGAGCTGCTCTGAGGGCGGACGCTGCCCTTTTCATATGTGCCCAATACTTGCCCAATATGTGCCCTCACCCCCCACCCCCAGGGGCCAGAAGCCAGCAGGTAAATGTTCCTGCTTCACATCCTTCGGGCGATGGCTCAGGGAGGCCTTGAGTTTGGACTTGACACCGGCTTTTCCTCCCCCGGGCCTCCCTCCTACATACACCTCACTGGGGCCTAAGACCAGCTGCAGGCCCCTGTGCCCTTGCTCCTCCTCCTGCCTGAACCTGAGCGAAGCTGGAAGGGACAGCAGGCCGCAGGCAGTCCCAGGACCAGGCGCCCGGTCACAAGGCCACAGGGTCAGCTGTCCTCCAGCAGCTTCTAGCAGCCCAGCCAGCCTGGAACCCCCTCCTTGGCTGGTCGGACCCTGGGGTTTCCCTCAGGGCTGAACGCTTAGTGTCACACTTATTACATTGCCATCCAGAGAGAATGGTGTTCTGCACACGTAGGATCCAGAATCCAGTGTGTACGTGAGTTGGTTGTACCTTATTAAGTTTATTTTCAGGGCCACCTGGGTGGCTCAGCCGTGGAGCATCTGCCTTCAGCTCAGGGCGTGACCCCCGAGTCCTGCCTCGGGCTCCCTGCATGGAGCCTGCTTCTCTCTCTGTGTTTCTCATGAATAAACAAAATATATTTTTTAAATTTATTTTCAGATCTGTTTCATCCTTTTTCTTGCTGCTCAAACATCTCTGAATCAGGAATTTGTGGGTCTGGGTTTCATAACTAGAGACTCACTGTGCGAAGACCGTCTTTCACTGCACAAAGCTCATTGCATGGTGACCTCGGCTACTTTGCTTTAATCTTCTTGCCTTAAATTTTTCATTGGGTCCCTCGATCTCTCTCTGGTCACAGACAAAATAAAATAAGAATCCATATATAGAAAGGGGGAAAAATAACCAAAATACCAGCAAGAGTTGTCTTTGAGTAAATATGAGGACTTTACCTTCCTTCTATTTTCTGCAGGTTCCAAGATTTCCATCATGACCATGAGCTCTTTATAACGGAAAAGTAATACTTTAAAATAGAGAAATTCTACTTTGTATAATGTTTTTAAGAGTGGTGATGAATACACACTTACCCGAGCGCTGTGTTCAGCCTGCCCAGAGGGCAAATTCACACATCCTCACCCGAGTCCTAACAAGGGTACTTTTACTGTGGTCAGATTTTTTTTTATTTATTTATGATAGTCATACAGTGAGAGAGAGAGAGAGAGAGAGAGAGAGTGGCAGAGACACAGGCAGAGGGAGAAGCAGGCTCCATGCACCGGGAGCCCGACGTGGGATTTGATCCCGGGTCTCCAGGATCGCGCCCTGGGCCAAAGGCAGGCGCCAAACTGCTGCGCCACCCAGGGATCCCCCTGTGGTCAGATTTTTTGTTTGTAATGAATATCTTTGCTTTTTTTTATTTTTGGTTTTTCCGTGGATGTTTCTATTTGCATTTACGGGTCTCTAATAAGCACCTATAATACTTTGGAAACAATGAAGACATGCTTGTGCAGGAATAAAGGGAAGAGAAGCAGGGACTTGCGTTCACTCTTTTTCAACACGTAGTTTCCAGCACAAGCTCTGCAGATTTATTTTCCCGTAATAGCATAACAAATATTTTCCATATTACTTTTTCATATGTGCCCAATATTTCAATTAGGTACATACCTTTAGTAGGTCAAAATTTAGATGATTTTTATGCTTTCAATATTTTAAACAAGAATGTGCACAAAGGTTTTCATTTAGGGTGCTGCCCTGAGCCAGGTTTCCAGAAGTCAGAGTCCTGACATGAGAAGCCCGCTCCCTACACAGGCTCCGAGGGCTCAGCATGCGCGCCAAGCACTGTACCGGCTCCAGGTGGAGAGGGCATCTGCCTCGCCCCTACTCGCTGGACTCGTATTTCTCAGCCTCTGCCAGGGCAGGAGGCAGGAGAGACACCCCACCCAGCTCCAAGGCTCCAGGCCTCCAGCACCCAGGAGGACAGGTCTCCAAGCAAACTAGACAGGACAGGGGGTGCCCATAGGAAGCTCAGAAATGGGGTGCAGGGGAGGGGGTGCTGAGAGGGGCAGGGACAGGGCAGTCTCAATAGGGAGCCACTGCAGAGGTTAAGATGGAGCATGCTGCCCAGGGTTCTGTTTAAAAATTCATCAGGTCACAGGTGTAGGTTGAGGTAGGGAGCCTGGAGGCTTCTGATGCTCAAAGGAGGAAATTCCAGGCCATGTGGAGGGGAGTGGGGGGCAGCCTTGGCGGTGACGATGGGGGTGGAGGTGGCAGCAGTGTGGGTCTGGTTCAGGCACCAGAGAAAATAAATAAAGCATAACACCCAGAACATAGCTAACCAGGAGCAAGCGCGTAAACGCTCGTGGGAGTGGCGTGGCCGTGGCCCCCGAGCTGTCGCTGCGTCTACACCGCAGCCCTCTCACCAGGGTCCTTGCTGGCACTTGGCAAAGCACTGGCCTCTGCCTGGCTAAGGGAGGGGCCCTGGAGGCCCGCCGGGGCTGGTGGGCTAATGCCTGGTGCACGCAGGCCAGCTGAGTCGTCCACTCGGAGAGCCCAGGATGGAGTGGGGACCCAGTCCGCGGGAGCTGAGCAAAGGAAGCCAGGGCCCAGGGCGCAGGGGAGCTGCGCGGGAAGGGTCCCCCCAACAGGGAGCGGCTCCAGGGAAGGGACCAGCCCAGGGGACGGTTAATGACAGGGAGAACTGGCAAAGCTTGGAGGAGCTGGGGCGGGGAGGGGCACCCCGGCTGACCCAGGGCAGGAAGTGCAGGGAGCAGGTGGGGCCCACGGACACGCCCAGGCCCCCGACCGCGCTCCCTGCCCGGGCACGAGTCTCAGACATGCACATCCAGGGCTCTGCCTCTTTCCAGCTCGAATCCGTGAGGGAGTTTCCTCACACATTCTCTCTTCCTGACGGTGGGGTTGGACCGTCTGGGGGCAGCTCCACACGCAGCACGTCTGCTGCAGGACCTGTGGGTGCACCTGCCGATGCCCAGGCCACACACCGGCCGCCACGTGAGTGGAGACAGTAGCTTTAAGTTCATATGTAGGGAATCCGTCCTTCCCTTGGCTCACGCTTCAGAGCCTTCATCTTCTGCAGCACTGGGCTCCGCATCGGGGGTGGGGGCACCCAGACCACCCTCAGGAAGGCCGGCCTCAGCACCCGAGGGCCGGGCTCGCCCGGGGGGCCGGGGTCCAGGACATCCCTTTCTCTGGAAGATTCCATCCACAGCAACATAAAGCATAGTGACACATAGCCACCCCTTCCCCTTTGGCTTTCTGGGGAGAATTTTTTAAGTGCCAGTTTTAAGATCTGAGCATCGTGGCCCCTGTTTCTCACACACACACTCACAAGCGTGCGTATCCACATGCACTGTCCAGTGGGAGCCCTGGTGCAGCTTGAAGGAACACAGTGTGACCACCGCCCTCTGCATACCCGTCCCCCACTGGCCGATCAGGTGCATGCAGGGAGAACCCCTGGGGGGCCTGGGGCATGATTTCGGGGAACACTGAAGGGGTGAATCTTCCCAGGAACCTTCTCACGTCCCTACCGCCATGGGCAGTGCCTGGACCCCCGGCCCCCCCGCAGAAACAGCCAGTGTCACACCAAGCAGAGAGTTTATTGAGGTGCTAGACTGCGGGGAGTGTTTGCAGCGGCAAAGCGGACGCTGGTGTGGCCAGGGCCAGGGTAGACACCCTCCTCCTAGCATCTGGGGCTCAGGGTAAGCATCAAGAGCTACTCCTAATCTCCCCCAGGACCCTTCTGGGGAACCCCTCCCTGCTTCCCCCTGAACTCCATGTGGGGCAGTATTGAGCGGGGTCCTTCTCTTTGTCCCTGTGGTCAAGGATGGGATAATCCCTTGAGATTCACTATAAAAATTAAAATTCCTTTATAAATCACAGGGGAGGGGTGGGAGGGGATCACCTGGGAGCCTGGTGCCACCAGTCACCTAGAGTCTCGCCTTCCTCTACAATCCTCCCAGTTCTGACCCCAAGTAAAGAGCAGAGGATGAGAGATAGCAGGCGCAGAGAGGGACAGACAGAAACGAGGAGATGGGTCAGGGGGGCGGAAGAAAGTGACACAGAGAGGAGGAACGGATCAGAGGGAAAGAGGAGAGTACTCCCCTCCCCCGCAGCCCCGGGGAGCAAGGAGGAAACGCCCTGGACATAAGCTCCCACGTGCCCCCAGTCCAGTTCTTGCAAAGCCGTGGCGGCTTCCGGAGACGCGGCCAGCCCAGCTGCACGGACAGCAGGACAGCGGCGGGGCTACTCCAGGTAGATGTCCTCTGTGGGGCAGGCGTATTCCAGGTGCTCCTGGTAGTACTCTAGGAAGGCGCGGCTGGGGGGAGAGAGTCGTCCAGCAGCCACTTGGGCCGCGAGTTGCCCCGCCCGGGCCTGCCCATCACCCCCGGAACCCATTCCTCAGCTCTTCAGGCCCACGGGTCACAGGGTAATTGCCACCTCCACCCACTTTCCACTCTGCACCCCTATTGCTTATCATCACCGCCCTCACCCCTGCCCCAACTCTCCAGCCCACACCAGGCCTTCCCCCCTGACCTCGCCTCCCAGCCAATCTTCCTGCCCCACTTACCCCACACTCTGGGCCACGGGCCGCATGGACTCCTGGGAGACAAAGACGTGGCAGGCAAAGCGGCTCAGCAGAGGGTGTTTGGTGATGAAGCCAAAATAGCTGCAGGGGGGTTGGTGCGGAGGGGCATCAGAGCCCAGACCCACGCCTCCGGCCCCCCAGAGGTCCGGAGGCAAGACTCAGGAGCAGAGGGCTCGGGAGGAGAGTGGGGGTGGGAAAACACGTGGGTCACAGGAATTCAAGATATAAGGGTGGCCTTTTGGGGTCTAGTCCAAGCACAGTGCTAGCACCACGAGGAGTGAGCAACCTGTGTTCACTTCTGCAGAACGGGGTGGCCCCCCGCCCAGAGCCGCCCCGGGCCAGAGATGGGGCCTCCTTCCCGCCGCCCGGACGTGAGTCGCTCGGCCTGCCGGCCCCACTCGTGTCCTGCCAACTCCGCAGCTGTTCCTGAGCTCCGACCGCAGAACCGCCTTCGCAGAGAAGAAACTCGCGCCCTGGCTCCGTTTGGATTTGTAGCCACTGCCCCACCTCGGGCTCACTCGGACCTCTCCTAACCTGCCTCATCCTGTCCATCTAAGACGTTCACAAAAGTCGTCGCCCAGAGGGAGGGCCTGTGGGCACCCTGCGCCACCAGCCCCGCCCGCACCAGGCTGCACTGGGGTTTTGGAGGCACCAGACGGGCATGCGCCCAGCAGCGTCACTGCCAGGATGGCATGCTCACGTCCTCCGTGATCGGCCTGGTCTCAACGGCTGCGTTCAAAGAACCGCACGCACGGCCACCAGCCCTTGGACTCCGCTCACCAAGCCCCAAGCACAACAGCACCTTGATCACTAAGCACAGATGCCTCCTGACGGCCCCTGATCGGCCCGTCTCTAGATGGTGGAGGGGAGGACACACGCCAGTCCGGGATCTTACAGGCCACACTCTCCAAGTTCACCAGACACAGCATGTCCAGCACGCCCGGGGTCTACTGCCTACTTCCTGAGGAAATGCGGTCATGACTCAAGTGTTTGCCTCCGCTGTTTCATTAGAGCCTCCTACTGTGAGGGCCTGGGTTGCTCCCGAAGGAACCAGCACTAGGAAGGCCCGGGGCCAGACAGCAGCCCCACGCCCCCTCCCGTCCACCTCCACCTGATCCCGATCAGCTGGTCTGACCATCTTTCTCTCATGGGCTTGCACTGGGATCAGTGTGCAGGTGTCTAGGCCTGAGCCCAGGTCTACACAACGATCCAGGTTGTTTGCCCTCTTGGTAAGGTCACCCTCAGCCCACCCCACGCGGCTGGGTCCCCCGTGCATACCCGCCCCCGTGGAGCCCACCCGCGCTCCTGGGGTCCCCCTGCACTGCAGCCTGCCCCTGCAACACCAGAGCTGCCTGCTGTTTGGTCTGAGCCCTGGCGTTCTCCTCCTGCTGGGAAGCCTGCAAAGCAGCATCTCCCTCCTCGGTGGAAAAACAGCCAAACGGGGCTGTGACCCCGCTGAGGGTTAACGCCACACCCAGACCGCAAACAGATGACACACGTGCTGGACTCAAGCTCTGTCCCAGGCCTCAGTGCCCTGCCACTGTGTTGTTCTACCCCTCACCTGCCCTCCAGGTAGGTTGCTTCCTGCGACACCCCGTGGGAGCGTGGGGAGCCCCCGCCTGGCCCGGCCTTTCCGTTATTCCTATTTCCTTCCTCGAGGGCACCAGGACCAGCGGGCCGGGGCCGGGCTGGGCAGGCAGCCTGCAGCTCGGCCAGCTGGTCACAACACCGGCTCTCTCGCTCCCTTCCGTCCTGCCCTTTCTCGCTCTGCCTGCCTACCTGGTTCACCTCGGCCACTGTTACCCACCTGCCCCCAACTGAAGCTCTCCCTCCACGGCTCCTTCCCACTCCAAACCCATGTAACAAATGGCCACTTTGATCTCACTGCATCTGCAATTAAACGCCGCATCTCTAGGATGTCAGGCCCATCCACTCCATGCTGCCGCTAGGTGTGTGGGTTACTCTCTGCCCGTCATCGGGGTGGCATGTCACCCTGGATTCTCCCTCCAGGTCACCCTGTACATCCAATCAACCCAGCTCCTGCCTGTCCCACCTCCTGAATGCGTCCGGGACGCTGCACGTGCCTGACCTGCGGCACCTGGATCCGTGTGCCCTGCACAGCAGCCAGAGCCGGCCTATCAAACTGGCTGAGTCACCCCATGACTCCACTGCAAGTGGACTCAGGTACAGAATCCTGACAGTCTCCGGGAGCCCGCTATCCCTCACCACAGCTCCAGCTCAGCTGGCTCCCTGCCGACATCCACCTTGTTCCATACCCGTCTTCCAAGCTTGCAGAGTGGCCTTTCGTCCCTCCCTGGGTCCCAGAGGACTCACCCCCCTGCAGGTCTGCTTCCTGAAGCCCTGTACAGACATCTGCCAGTGTTACTACAAGTCTGTGTTTCCCCACCCAGACCAGGTGACAGCTCTTCTGATCCGTGTCTCCCAAGCCCAGTGCAGGGTGGCAGTCGCGTGGGTGCAGGTGGGGCAGTCAGGCGGGGGGGGGGGGGAGCGGCGCTGTGTATGAGCAACTCTCAGGGTTGTGGGGACTCAGGAAGGTAGGGCTCTCACCAGCTGTTGCGGGGATGGCAGCCACAGAAGGAAATGTTCTTCATCTGGAAGAAGTGACTGCAGTGCTGGACCTGGAACACAGGTGGCAGGCAGTGCCGGTGAGAGGCGGGGTCTGGGGCTGCCTCTGCACCCCTGCCAGACACCCCTCCGTCAGACCCCCAGCCGCCCCCGCATCAGGCCCCTACACTCCCACCTCAGGTCCTCCACTTAGACTCAGCTTGACCCCCCGAAGGGAAATCTCAAGGTCACAGGAGGCAGGAGGACGCAGGTGGACGGTCAGCTTCCGGGCAGTAGCAATCTGGGGAAGAGGTTAGGGGAGGGATGGTCTCAAGGGCCCTCAAGGGTATCCTTCCATCCGCTCGGTGCAACATGTCACAGGAGGGAGGCAGACTCTTGGCTGTGACCGGAGAAGACGTGAGCAGGGGGGCGGGTCTCAGCCATTCCTCAGGCTCAGGACCGGCTGGTCACCTCTCTGCACGAAGCCTGCCACTTGCCTCTGTTCCTCCAGACAGGACCATGGCTCCCACAACCCCTGGCCTCCTCGCTGCCCATCCCGCGAGCTACAGGGCTGTCCTGTTCTCTGGAGCTTTCCTACTCAATCACGGGGCTGGTAGATGGGCAGGCTCACTAAATGTCTACCAGGTGAATGAATGAGTGATTGAACAAATGACTCCCAGGAAAGGATCTGAGAGTTGGTCTTGATTGGCAGACAAAACAGCATGGCCTGAGGGCAAGAAAGGGCCAGCAAGACACCCACAATGCTGCCATAGAGCACAGGCGGCCAAGTACAGTGGAGGCAGAGACACCGAGGTGACAGGGGACAGCTGCCAAGCTCTGCCCTAGGCCTGTCTGCCCAGGCCTCTGACTCAGAGCAGGGATCCCTGCCCACCCAGACTCCCAGACTACTGTGTGGACCCTCCATGGTCACAGGCCTGGGACCTCCAGAGGCTGAGCCAGCCGATGGGGTTGAGCTGGACCCCTGCCTCCAGACTGACCTTCTGCATGGCTGCACACAGGATGCCATTGCCCTGGTGGCAGGGCACCTCTACAGAGCCCAGGAACTGCACGTCAAAGCGCTCCACCCAGCAGGGACTCCTCTTGCTCCCTGGGGGGAAAGGGGTGTCATCAGGTGCCTAGACCAGGCAGAGGGGGCAGGGGCAGGCTGGGTGACCAGCCACCCCCGGGGACAGGACCTCACCCAGCAGGTCCTTGGCAGGGCCGGGCACCGCATGGGCGTAGAAGGCAGGGAAGACCCCACGCTCCCCCGTGCGCATGTTGAAGCCACGGAACCAGAAGTCATCCTCCTCGGCCTCCACCAGCACGGGGTCGTCCACGTCCAGCTCCAGCTCATCGGGATGGCGAGGGATGAACCTGAGAGCGGGTCAGAGGCGGGAGGCCACCAGTGGAGGGGCGGGACACAGTGGGCTGCATCCACCCAGGTCCCAAGCTGTGTGCAGGCTGGGGCTGGGGACCACCCCCCACAACCATGAGAAGGGCTATACCTGAAGACAGCCCGATGGGTTTGTTCCTTCTCCTCCCCGTTGACCAAGCAGGAGAAGAGGCCAAAGGATTCGGTGCCTGGGACACAGAGACGGGGCAAGACAGTGGCTCAGGAGGCGGAGGGGGAAAGTCCTTGCAGGCCCGGCCTCCCCGCACCTGCAGAGCACCTGGCTTGTCCCGACTCTGGGAGGGGAGCACGGCCCGCGTCCCTGACCACCCAAGATGCCCAGGCTGCCCAGGCCGCCCCAGGACCACCTCCCGCTCACTGGAGGAACGAGATGTGCTGTTGACAAAGACGTTGAGGAACTTCTTGGAGAAGGTGAGGTCGGGGCTGTCTGGGGAGGCATCCTCGGGGCCCTGGCCGCCCAGCAAGGTGGCGGCCGTGTCCTCCTCGCTGGCCTCGCCGCTGTCCTCCGAGCTGTCGTCCCCCAGGCCCGCGCAGCGCCGCAGGCTCACCAGCTCCAGCTGCGTGTGCTCGTCCACCACCAGCGTGTACTTGACTGCGTCGTACACCAGCGAGGCGTCCAGCGTCGCCGTGGGGCCCCGGGGTCTGCCCCCGGGGCGCCCAGCCTTGGCCTGGGCAGCGGCCTCGTCCTCCTCGTCCTCTTCATCCTCCTCCGAGCAGGCAGCCGAGCAGGCGCGGCCCGGGCGGGCGCCGCGGCCCGGAGCGGCCCACAGCGGCGTGATGGTGTCACGCGTGGGGTTGCTGAGGAAGAGGCAGGGCCCAGGCTGCGCAGGGCCGGGCCGCGGGGCGGGAGGCGCGGGTGGCGGTGGGGCGCACAGCGTCTCCATGTCCAGCAGCTCTACGCCCGGGCCCCCCACGCACCCCGCGCCCCCCGCCCCGCCGGCCGGCGACACGGGCTCCCCAGGGGGACGCGAGGCAGGGGACAGGCACTGGCCGGGGCAGCGGATGGGCGAGGAGCCCTCGGAGATCATGCGGCTCACGAGGTTGCTGAGCAGCCAGGGCGAGTCTGCATCCTCGCTGAGGTCCGGCTCCGACTCGGAGCCCGACTCATACTCGCTGTTGGTGTCGTCGGGGCCCACTGGCAGGAAGGCGGGGCGGCGCGGGGGCTCAGGCTCAGGCTCGGGCTCAGAGGCGGGCGACGAGGCCTCCTCGATGGAGTTGGTGAGGTGCGAGGAGCGGCCGCTGCTGCTGCTGCCGCCGTCGCTGCTCAGCTCCAGCTCCGTCTCCGAGATGGATGAGATCATGCGCCCCAGGCGGGCGCCCACCGCATCCTCCGAGTCGGAGCCCGGCGACGACAGCTCCTGGCTGCTGCGCCGGCCCCCACGGCCCCCGCTCGAGCGGCTGCCCAGGTCGGCCTCGATGCCCGGGTCGGAGGATGGCGAGGCCCCGCAGGGCGCGGGGGCATCCGCCTGCCGGTTCCCTTCGCAGTCGCAGCCTGGGTGCATGGGCGACTGCGCCCCACAGGGGCTCGCGTCCGTGGGCTGCAGGGAGGCGGGGGGCTCTGCGGGGCCGGAGTGGGGGTCAGCAAGACCACCGGGCCCCTTTCCTCCCTCCTCTGCCGCCTGTGACCCCACACTGGCACCACGGCCCTGCTCACCTCTCAGGGGCTCCTGGGGAGGCGAGCACAGCGCGGTCTCCTGCCAGGAAGCTGGAGGCGCGGGGGCAAAGCCTCCGTTGTTGTTCAGGGAGTCCTGGGGCACGCGGGGGAGCAGAGAGAGTGGGGCTCAGGAGGGTGTCCAGCTCTCAGGCTCAGGCGGGAGGCCTTGGGGATCCGAGGCCCAGACACTGGAATCCCAGGTTAACTCCAGGATGCTGCGAGTGGGTCTGGGTGCTCACCTGGGCTCCCAGCGTCGTCAGGTGGAGCGTGGTGGGTCGGTTCTTGTGGGGTTCCTCCAGGGAGGGGGAGGGGATCAGGGCCTCTGGGGCAGGGGCCTCCGAGCCAGGGCCTCCTCCCTCCTTGCCCTCTCTGACTCCTTCCTCCTCATCCTCATCCTCTTCCTCCTCTTCCTCCTCCTCTTCTTCCTCTTCCTCCTCTTCATTGTCATCGATCATCTCAAACTCCTGGAAGTCATCCTGGAAGGAGCAGATGGGGTGAGGCTGCTCCGAACGTCCCAGGGAGAGACTGTCCTGCAAGAAGGAGGGATAGGCATAGTGGGCCAGAGCTCAGCAGTGACTTGAGGTTCCAGCTGCCAGGAAAGGGGAAAGCAGAAAGCTAGAAGTTAGAGAGAGAAGGCTCAGTTTACTCTGCTCCCCACCAACGCAGCAGTTTTGTTTTGTTTTAATTTGCTTAAGATACAAAAAAGATCACTCCGGTTCTTGCGAAGAGCCCAGACTTCTAAGCTTAAGCGACAGAGATCCTCGGAGCGGCCCCAGTTCACTTGCCACCCTCACGTTCTCCCCAAACTGCATCACATTTAACACCAACACTCCTTCCTTCATGGCATTTTAACCCAATTCTCAATTACTTTACACCCCACCCCACCCCCAAGCTCCAAGCCCCCCTAGGGAAGGGCCACGTCCACCCTTCCCTGAGAACAGGACTTTGCCTACAGATGCTAAGTGGAATGCATTAAGACAAACCAGAACCAGGATTAACCAAGCTTGCACCAACCTCAGGGCCTTTGACACAGTTGATCACTTTGCCAGCAACTCCTCTCCTCCATTCTCTACCTCCCTTATCTGCCCAGGTACATCTAGTCTTCCTAAGGGCAAGGTTGTGTGCCATTTCCACTGGAGAGTCTCCCTGAAGGCCTCAGTCTCTGTTGGGTTCCCTCCCCCCTCATTGCACCGGAGTGTCCTCTCATTGGAACCCAGTCCTTGGCCTGCAGGCAGCCAGCCAGCATCTCTTACATGTCTTTCTCCCCCACTGAGTTAGAAGCTCCCAAGGGCAAGGGCCACACCTGTCCCATTTTCCTTCCACACACCTGGAAGCCCCTGGCACTTTCCACATGGCAGAAACGTTCTTAAATGAATGAAAACAGAAGCATGCAGAGACAGGGAGGGGGTGGAGAAGCGGGAGATGGGGGGGAGAAAAGATCTCAGGGGTGGAGAAGACAAAAGGCAGATAGATGGAGACTTGAGAGGTGGGGAGAGGGCTGGGAAGGAGACAGCTGAGGTGGCAGCAGGAAGGGGTGAGGTCTTCCTAAAGAGTGGTCTGAGGACACATGTGAGACCAAGCTAGCCCAGTGACAGGGCCAGGCAGAGAATGCTAGGGACGGCCCTCTGTGGACGGTGGACAGTCTGAGAAAAAGAGAGGCGTGATACCAAGGAGGACCCTGGGCCAGAAGCGGGAGGGCAACCAGATTTCTCATTTCAAGGCTGAGCTCAGGCCCACCTTCAAACTCCACATGAATATTAAGCAGAGCCCGAGTGAGGCTCTCTCTGGAGAGGGTTCCATGCCCCCAACCCCTTGCCCACCTTCTCGCAGTGGTCCGAGTCATAGCTGAGGCCCAGGCCACAGTCATCGGTGATCTCAGACAGGTCCTCATCATCGAATTCTTCCAGGCTTATGTCCTGGGGAGGCCTGGGAGAGGGGACCACGGTCAGAGAGCAAGGTCAGGGCTTCCAGGAGAGCCACCAACCCTGGACTCCCTCCCTGCCTGGAAGCCAGTCCTAAGGAAGGACCCCCCCCCCAACTGCAAGGACCCATGGGCTCCAGAAACCCCCCTCACCAAGCCACATCCTGCCATCACCTAGACCCCCCAAGTTCTACTCTTCCACGGATTCCCCCCACCATCGGAGCCATGATCAGCCCAGGGGAGCCACTGGTCCCCTCAATCTTCCTCCAGCTCCTCCTCTTGGAGAGAGTCAGCAGCCTCTCCTCCTTGCTCCAGGCCCCTCTGGGTCACAGCTTCAGCCCCAGGGGAGTCAGATGGAGCAGAGTGGGGGGAGGGGGAGCTACAGCTGCAGCAGCGGTGGCCAGGAGGGGGTGGGCAGGTAGGGCTACTCTGGGAGCAGAGTCTACCGGCCACTTTGTCTCCCCGCTCCTGCCCAAGACCAGTCTACACTCAGAGGTCCAACCATCTCCCCACCTCAGGCCCTTCCCCCAAGGGCTCCAGCTGGGTCTCAGCTCTCTCCCTCCCTGAGCCCCACAAGGCCGAGAGACAGGCCTCTACGGAAGAGAGGCCCAGCAAGGCCGAAGGACACTGCCAAACCCAGAAGGTGGCTCAGCATCCTGCCCCGACAGGCCGCCCCTCGGAGGCTCAGCCCTGGTCCTCCACCCTTGAGGGGTCAGCGGCAGGGGCTGGGTGCCGCCCTGGGACCCGGCAGGATGTGGGTGCAGGCACCGGTCCTTAGGGCCATAAAAAGGGGTGAGGGTGGGACAAAAATAGAGATCCTGAAGGGAAGGAGGATGGGGACGGGTGAGAAGCGGTAGGGCGGAGAGGGTCCCCAAAGGTGATGGGGGTGGGGTGGCAGGCCCTGGCGCGGGAGGCTGTGGGCTGGGTCGGGCCGGGGGCTGCCGGATGGCAAGGGCCTGCCAAGGCCGGGGCGCCGGGGTGCGTACCTGCAGCCTGGCGGCGACAGCGAATGAAAGGTGGAAAGAGAAAACATCTCCGCCCGATCCGCCATCTTCTCCGGGGAGAGGCCTGCCGACTGCGGCGGGGGAGGGGTGCGGGGAGCCGCGGCCCCGCTCGCCCTCCGTCCTCCCTCCCTCGGCGCCCAGCCCTCCCCGAGTCACCTCGTGACCCGCCCTGCGACACCCCGCCCGCGACACACCTCGACACCCCGCCAGGACACCGCTGCGGGCGAGCGGCGCCGCAGGAGAGGGGAGGGGAGGGGACGGGAGGGGACGGGAGGGGAAGGGAGGGGAGGATCCGGGAGCAGGGAGGGGCGGGGGCGGCGGGCAAGCTGGTTGGAGGAGACGAGATCGTTTGACCGAGAGGCTCAGCTTCGGCTTCTTGGGGGGCGGGGGAGGCGAGGCGCGGACTGGCGGCGGGTGGGGGGGTCAGGTCCGCGGACAGGAGGCCCTGCGGAGGGATGAGGGAGGCGCAGCGGGCCGGGGCTGCAGAGCCCTGGCTAACGGGGGGCCCGGCCTGGTCCTGAGGGCTGCAGGAGCCCTGGCTAAATGGGGGGCCTGGCCTGGTCTCGGGGCTGCAGAGCCCTGGCTAAGTGGGAGGCCTGGCCTGGTCTCGGGGCTGCAGGAGCCCTGGCTAACGGGGGACCCGGCCTGGTCTCGGGGCTGCAGAGCCCTGGCTAAGTGGGGGGCCCCGGCCTGGTCTCAGGGTCGCAGGAGCTGTCCGCCCCGGGGGTGCTGAGCAGGCCCGCCCCGGGCGCCTCCTGAAACGCGAGCTGCAGGAGCTGTCCCTCCCGCGGGGTGCTGATCGGTGCTGGACAGAGGCATCTGACCAAGGGTCGCTGATCCCGCTGGATTCCAAGGTGATGGAACTTTCGGTGCACAGCACACTGTGCAGAGGTACTGACGGACCTGGGGTGATGACCCTGAGGCCATGCTCATTCCATTGGAGAAAATGTTTCTTGAGAACCGACTGTGTGATTGGCATCGTTCAGGGCGCCGACCTATTCTGGCTTTCTGGCTTGATATGGAACCATGTGGGGAGAGCGATGGTTGAAATCAAGCTCGCGCAGTTACATCATGTCAGGGTCACCGGGCACTGGGGTGGGAGAGGGCAGATCAGTGCTGTGAGTGCACTTGACAAAGATGGGTTGGAAAGGCGGGTTAGGGAGAGTTTGTGGAGATTTGGCTAAAGACGGAGGCTGGAACTTCAACAAAAGTGCAGTGAAATTAGCCTCTCCCCCCCCCCCCATGGGAATTATGTGCCCTTCTCAAAATTATTTCTGCGGGAAAGATGAAACACTTGATAAATGCTTGGAAACCAAACTCATGCAAGGTGAGGAAGACAACTTCATTCTCTGGGAGAGAGGGCCCATGGCCAAGGGTGGATTGTGCCCTCTTTTGTGCCCAACCCACAATTTACATTTTGTCTCAATTACAGTATTTTTCAGAACTCCTGGGTGGCTCAGCAGTTGGGCATCTGCCTTTGGCTCAGGGTGTGACCCCGGGGTCCTGGGATCGAGTCCCACAGCGGGCTCCCTGCAAGGGATCTGCTTTTCCCTCTGCCTTTGTCTCTGCCTCTCTCTGTGTGTCACTCATGAATAAATAAAACCTTTTATAAAAATTATAGTATTTTTCTTAGAATGGTACTCAATAGTTTATGTTATCATCTCTAACAAACAAGAGCTGCAAGAAAGAAGAGACACTATCTTATCTCTCTTTGAACCTCCAGGCTCCAAGGATAGTTGGATGCTCGACCACAGCAGGATCTCAGCAAATATGTGAATGAGGAGACGAATGAATGAGCGAGCTTATGGACTTTACCAGGTCTGGGGCATTAAGTCTTTGTCTTTTCAATTTTAGGAGCACTAAGAACGTCCCCCATCTTTGAGGTTCAAGGAGTTTGGACACACCAAAACCTCTCTGACTTTCCCCACAGAACTCCATATCACTCCCTAGAATTCACAAAGAGTTTTTTTAACTCCAGATTTCCTTTCAATCCTGTCATCAAATTGATTAACTTGGACATCCACATAAATAATCCACCAACACCCTGGTAAGTCAGTTCTTGACCTCTGGTCAGTCAGCAGTCTTTGACTCTTTCAACTCTAGTGACCACTCCCATAAAAAGCCTCAGGATTCACCTCTGCCTGGAATTTCACCAATCCTGCCTGAATGAAGCCCTATATTTCTAAATTCTGTCTCAAATTCTCACTCCCACAATCCTCTCCAAGCCTCTCCCCTTCCTTCCCTCCTTTTATCAGATGATTTGCCTCCAGATTCCAGGAGTATAAAGGTTATGAAGTTGGGGCTTCCACTCCCAATTTTACCTGTGAAGTTTTCCATCTGTCCCCAGAGCACAAATGGGAGGTCATCAGCCTTAGGGTCTGAGAGATTATGGTATCAATCTTTATCTTGTAATCAATTTTATGAACATGGATAAGTTACTCAATCCTATGGACCCCTGTTTCTTCATCTGTCCCACAGATGCTATGAGGATCCCATGAGATAATGCATGTAAATCTCTAAGCATGGGCCCTAACTCCTCATCATAATCATCCAGTGTTCCTCCTCCCCATGCTGCTTGCACTAGGACCCATTTGCTCCCAAATCCTCAGGATGCTGCTCTTCCCAGCTCAAGGATACCTTGATGAAAAGGCACAACCTCCTGAAGGGGTTTATGCTCCTTACACCTCTCATATTTCATCAAATTTAATGTGTTACCTCATGTGACTCTCATAGCATCTTTGTATCAATGAAAGAACTGAGATCCACAGGGACCTGACCAACCCTTCCTTGAAGTTCTTCCTTCCCTCAGCATGTGGGCACCATGCACTATTGGTTTTCCTCTTCCTTCTGACCACCCATTGCCAGTGTCCTTCCAGACTCCTTTTCCTTCCCTTAAACAGCTATACCACTTTAATAATTTGGTTTTCTCTGAAGTCCACTAATGGCACAGTTAGTACAAAATACAAAATTGACTAGACTTATATGGAAAAATTGAAACAGCAACAGAATTTCACCAATCCTGTCACAGATCAATTCTAAAAAGTCAGAGGACATTTTCTGATCATTTTCTCATAGATTAGAAAATAAATAAATGCGGAGCACCCGGGTGGCTCAGTTGGTTAAAGTGTCCAACTCTTGATTTGGGCTTAGGTCATGACCTCAGGGTCATGGGATTGAGCCCCGCATCAGGCTCTGCACTCAGCACACAGTCTGCCTGAGTTACTCTCTCCCTCTGTCCCTCCCACTCTTGCTCTCTCTCTCTCTCAAATAAATAAATAGAGGCGTCTGGGTGGCTTAGTCCATTGAGCATCTGCCTTCAGCTCAGGGGACCTAGGATCAAGGCCACATTGGATGCCCTGCTCAGTGTGGATTCTGCTTCTCTCTCTCCCTCCTCCTGCTTGTGCACTCTCACTCTACCACTCTCAAATGAATAAATAAAATCTTAAAAACTTCTTTAACTTAAAAAATAAATACATAAAATTATAAAATAAGGGCACCTGGGGGGCCTCAGTGGTTGAGCATCTGCCTTTGCCTCAGGGCCTGATCCTGGTCCTGGGATCGAGTCCCACACCAGGCTCCCTGCAGGGAGCCTGCTTCTCCCTCTGCCTGTGTCTCTGCCTCTCTCTCTCTCTCTGTGTGTCTGTCATGGAAAAATAAATAAAATATTTTAAAAATAAAATTAAATCTTTTTAAAGAAGTAATAATGCAACTAACTTTATTATTCAAGCATAGAAGTCACATAAAAAAGTAAAATGTCGGGCAGCCTGGTGGCTCAGCAGTTTAGTGCCGCCTTCAGCATGGGGCGTGATCCTGGAGACCCAGGATCAAGTCCCATATCTGGCTCCCTGCATGGAGCCTGCTTCTCCCTCTGCTTGTGTCTCTGCCTCTTGATCTCTCTCTCCCTCTCTCTCTCTCTCTCTCTCATTAATAAATAAATAAAATCTTTTTTTAAAAAAGTAAAATGTTAGTAGCTAAAACTATGAACAGAAATACATAATAGGAATTAAAAGCTTAAGAGCCATACTTTATGGAGTATGCTGTCATAAGCAATATCTTCACCTCCTCAATTTGATTTTAAGCATCCAGGTCTCTAACTAACCATCACCTGCTGTTTTTCTTACTTTCTTATGGTAGCACCACAACATCCACAATTCCTTGACCTAACAGCAAACCTGTTCCAATTACTTTTGCTGTGTAGAAAATTACCACAAAATTTAGTGGATTAAAACAAGCATTTTATTCTGCTTACAGTCTTGCAGTCATAAATTTGGAATTCAAAAGTCATTGTCTGGGGCTTCTTGTGTGGTGTGGTTACAGTCAGCAGTCAGCTGGCCTGGATGTCCAAGAGGGCCCGCTCCAAGGTTGCCCCTAGATGGTGACCGTTGGCTGAGAGCGCGGCTGGCACTGTCCACCAGCAACCTCCCCCAGCCTTCCCAGCATGGTGGTCTCAGGGTGTTTGGACTTTTCACAAGAAGGCTGGCTTCCTCGAGAGTGAGTGTTCTAGGAGGCCCAGGCAGAAACTGCATGGCCTTTCTGGTAGAGCTCTGGAAGTCCTATGGCATCACTTTGGCCCTACCTGTTGGTCAAAGCAGTCCTGAGCACATCACGATTTGAGAGAAAAAGATCACAGACCCACCTCTCAGTGGGAGGAGTGTCAAGGAATTGGGGGCCATGTTCTGAGACCACAGATCTCCAGGCTAGTGACCCTCCTGCTGTTCTCATCGCCCATGCAAGCCCTTCCCTCTTGCATCATCAATGTCTCCTTCTCTTCTGGATCATTTCCATCAATAAACAGGCATAATCTAGGAATAAAGAAAGAACCAAAGTCATGGGTTTTACAACATTGTTACGCCTTCAAGGAAAAGACAGTAAAAAATATCCTTCTTCTAGCTTAAGAGAGGAAGTGCCACAGGGACACCTGGGTGGCTCAGGGGCTGAGCACCTGCTTTCGGCTCAGGTTGTGATCCCCAAGTCCCGAGATGGAGTCCCACATCAGGCTCCCTGCATGGAGCCTGCTTCTCCCTCTGCCTGTGTCTCTGCCTCTCTCTGTGTGTGTCTCTCTCATGAATAAATAAATAGAATCTTAAACAATAAAGAAAGGAACTTCCACAAATAGTTATACCTTTCAGAAAACAGGTTTCTATCAATGAGGAAAACTATTATGACAATAAGTCAGAGTCGAAGTTTTTATTTTTTTTTATTTTATTTTTTTTCAGAGTCAAAGTTTTTAAAGGGATTTTT